CGTTAGCCGACTCAGCTCTCCAGCATTAGCAGCTATATCTGACGGCGACAACACAATGTAGCATCCACCATCTCCACCACTTACCGCATCCTTCTCCCTCAACGCGAGCGACAGTGAGGATCCTCTCTGGCACTCGCCTCAGAGTCACTGGTCAACTCCACAACATCAGACGACGGCGACGAGGAAGGAGGAGGAGGAGGAGCCTAATACAGATGAATCGTCACGCGCCAGGAAATTATCACCTTCACGATGGCGTCTGTCTTCCCCTGCTGTTCCTTCAACTGTGCACCAGCTTCCATGGCTTTAATCTGTGCTATTGAACATTCTTGCTCGCCAGCAAGCCTGCATAATATTCAACGAGAAATAAAACCTTCCGAGTGAGTAAAGATTCGCCACCTACCTCGCTGTTTCTGCCTCTAGTCGAGCGTTATCCGATTTAGCTTGCCGGATGAAACTCTTCACCATACTCCATTCAGATGACAGTAACTCTCGGCTGCCCGTCACGCGCCCAGATATTCTCGGGGACGTTGGTACGACGCCGAGTGCCGTCACTGAAGTTGACAGTGCCAAGATTTGCGCTATGTTATGACAAGGACGAGAGCTTACATTCCTCGTGGATCATCTCAGTCTCCATTATGAATCCTGCCAACTCCTCACGTAGACGCTGTATGGTCGAGTAAGATGATATCTGACCAACCCGGAGTGCTTCAATGAATACAGTGATGTAAAATTCCCATACGGCCCCGAGCACTCGATCAAAGCTCGGGCAGAGGCCAATGACAACTATAGATGGGCAAAATTACGTTACGGACCGTTACGGCTCACTTTTACGGTTACGCTTCAAGCCCCGTATCGTAAAATTACGGCACCGTAACGGGTCTTACGGAGATGCAGAGGACGAAACGAGGATTGATCATTCAAGTCGCCTAAATCTATTTCATGTGAATGCCCATCAGTAGACGAAGCCGGCTTGGCAGTTCCGGGCCAGCCTGAGAGTATGACGCGCGAAATTTTCAAAGGAGACGAGTGGTAAATGCGAAACCAAATGTTACTCTCTCAGCGATTCGGTTGAATCCGAGCCACAAGAAATGAGTTTAACAGCTATTTGAGCTATCGTAGAGTGCATTACAGCGAATCTTTCCGCCACAATTCTAAAAAAGCAGTTCAGCATCAACCGTAAAGTCGTAAGGCCTTTCCGTAACCGTAAACTGCTTACGTCACGCACACCGTAACGTAAACCGTAAAAAAAACGTTACGCTGCCCAT